GGTCGGGGTCGGGGTCGGGGTCGGGGTCGGGGTCAGGTCGGGTCGGGTCGGGAATATGTTTCGAATTTTTCATTGGAAAATTCCAACGGAATGCGGTTGAAAATTCCGTTGGAAAATTCCAACGGATATCGGTTGGAAATTCCGTTGGAAAATTCCAACGGATTGCGGTTGAAAATCCGTTGGAAAATTCCAACGGATGCCAGTTGAAAATCCGTTGGAAAATTCCAACGGTTTTCCAACGGACACCGATTTCTAACGACGAAATTCCAACGGATAAATCCGTTGAAAATCCGTTGGAAACGTTAATTTCCAATGGAAATTTGGCCATTTCCAACGGATTTATCCATTGGAAATGACCATTTTTTTTGTAGTGAATCTCTAATCTCGTATACACACTATACAACAATGCTATCATATTTTATTTTGCATATTGGCCAACTTTGTGACAACATATATTTTACTATTTATAAAATAGAAATATTTTGGATAATTTTTTAATATGAATTTAAAATGAAATTGAACACTTTCTAGGTGAATATGAATTTACCTTTTTTTCCCCAAAACCCAAAGAAAACAAAGGTTAAGTGTGCAGTTTTTCACCAATATTTCTGATAGACACAATCAGTACCAATCATTTGATTCAAATGATATGTATATGTATATATATATGTATATGTATATATATGTAAATGTATATATATGTGTAAATATGTGCATGTGTATATGAATGTATATATGTGTGATAGGGATATGGAAGTTAGGCTGGCGAATGGGTGCAAAGCACTCAGAGACTGTCAGTTCGATTTTCGCTGTTGGGGAAGGAGGGTAAATAGTGCGCTTGATCGTAATTTCACAACGACTGCTCCCGAGCCGGAGGTTTACCTAGTCAGCGTGTCCGAAGGATAACAGATAGGTCCCTCCGTTATAAAAAAAATATTTGCAACTCGGGTCCTGAAAATAATAGTCCCTTATTATGATGTATTATTATGCTTTTACCCGATTCGATTTGATAGAAATCCGTAATGATTATTTATTTTTCAAGTTTACTTTATTTAATATTTGTGATTAAAAAATCGAATTGAATATTGTGAGGGCCTATTTCTTTAAATTTTTCTATTAAATATTTTACTCTTGGTACTTTATTGCCTAAAATAATAATTTCGTTACCTATCTAATTTATTCAGATATTCTACAAAAAAAAAATCTCAAATATTTTACTAGAAATTTTTATATTTGATTTGTAAATTCTCCATAACTCCTATTAAAACATATTTAACATTTTCAAGAGAAAATCTATAACATAAAGTATTTGACGGGGAAAAAAATCGAGATCTGACAAATTTGGTTTGAATTCAACTATTTTTTCCATTTATATATGAAAAAATCTATTCCAACGGAATTGGTATTTAAAAAAATAATAATTTAAGTAATAATAACATTTATATGTGTTATGTATATCCGTAACATATATATACACAAACACACACACAGCGGAAGTGAGCTGAACATATTGTCATAAACTAAACTTGACCATGTTTCATTCCCGAGTTTCGATCGCTTTTACGATGTATTGTTGTCGGCAATGCATGAACAGGGAAAAAGGATTATTCGTATTTGCCGACGTGGAATTTTCGAAAATACGATGCATGATTTGATGAGAATTCGTGATCGATGTGGATACAATACCAAGAATTAGATGCCTCTGGATACAAGCAAATTAAATCTAGGTGTTACTTTCATTTTGGATTTTTGTTTTATTGTAATAAAATGCGTGGCCTATTTTAATGTATAAATTTTAAAATCTAACGTTATTGCTAATTGGACAATAATTCCACGTGTTCGGAACATTGGATTTATTATCGAAATTTGACAAAATCTTAAAATATACTCATTCCGTTTTAAAATATTTATAGTTTTAAGTTATTTTCTATGTTTCTAAATATTTGTCATTCTACATTTTTAACACATTTTCTTACAATAGTTTCTAATTTTATCCCTATTAAATTCAAATAAATTATTAATGATAACATTGTTTTTATTATACGTGATTTTTTCTATCTTTTCTTAAAAAATATGAAATAACTTAGAATAACAATTATTTTGAAATGGAGTGAGAAACAAACAATCGAGAAACAACTTTTTTTTGTTTTGATTTTAATCGGAATGAACAAATACAATATCGAAATTCAAGAAAACTTTTAAAAAACCATAACAAAATTTGAATTCACCGTGGAATTTATCATTGCATGAATCCCCCGATGTATTATTTGGTTTATGTCGTGAAAAGTTTCCATCTTTTATTCTCCGACAATTGCAGAAAGTGGCTAAGGTTTGAGCCGGCAGACTGGTGTCTGGATACTTGTCTTCTCCGCCCGTTATCGGCATCGGAAGTCCGGTCTTTACGCCGGAGATATAATCCGGCCAATGAGTTTTTCCCAAAATGCCCTCCACGATCGAGATCACTGAAGCTCAAGAGTCTCAAGATGGGCAAAAGCGTCATTTTCTTGTAACTGGTAGTTGTGGACTCTGTTCTCTTCTTTGCCAATGGCTCTGACTTTGACGTCCATCTGGGCAAGACCAGAGACACTGACTCTCACCGCTGTTTCTTTCGTCGGTTCTCTCCCGAAAATGCCCTCCACTCGGATTGTTCATCGTCAGGGACTGGGAGCGTGATGGATTCGTCGCTGTCCCATCTAAGGGTGAGTCCGTCGATTTCCGTCGTCCCATTGATCGACCCTATGGCCGCGATCACGAGGTTGTGGCTTTCGAACATGGCGTTGAAGGCTTGAACCCACGTGAAGTCTCTGGTTCTTCCAGTGGGTCTGGTTCCAATGAAGTGAGCATTGATTTGGAGGTTGCTGTATGAAAAAGATGGCAAAGTTTCTACCTTTGGCACCATGGAAGTGGAACATTGCACCATCTCTTCCG